TGCTGTGTAGGTTAAGTTTCTGATAAAAAGCTTTTCTATTCTTCGTAGGAAAAGTGAATATTGTTTATGAAAATGACCTTGGTGTTGTAGACTTTCATCCTGATAGTGAGACAGCCATAGTTTATGTATCTGAAAATGAAATGGTGGCTGGTAGCGGTTACAAAAGAAAAATAGTCAAACTTCGAAAAGTAAGTTGCATTCAATTGGTGCATTTTTTGTGTTTTTTTCAGGCTTTATAACCATTTAAACATTTTTGGGGGTTGATTCATGAAGGTACAATGTACCAAAAATATAAATTGATTTTATAGTATAGTCCAGCATGAAAGTTTTTAAAATTCTGAAGGCAATATATTTAAAGTGCCTGTGAAATGGCTGCTATTTTCTCTCTAAAAATCATTGATTGGTACATCATAATTATCAATGTTAATGTTTCTAAGCATAAAATATTTTTTTTTAAATGAAAAAATTGGTTTTAAACTCAGTCTACAACTTTATTTTTGTGTATTTAAAACAAGGCTCCTCATTAGCTTTTCATTTGCATACCAAAATTCCCCTTATGACGCAAGAAAGGTTACTTGCTGGGCAGCTTGCATTGCCGATACGTGTAAATAAGGCAAATTTCTTGTACAGTTTTCTCATCTTTGACTAAATTGCCACTTATATACTTGTTCATTGAGGAGGAATGGACCTTAATGAACACAAAATATCAAGTTTGTTGCATAGGGTTGAGTTAGATGCGAAATATGTCCTTTCTGGCATAACTGGTCACCATGACCATCACCGACGCATGTTTGTTGCTGGACTATGCTGGACTACAACAGGATTGGTCTAGACTGCACAAATACTTATATGGTAGTCAGTCGAAGTGTCGACTTCTATTTCCATGGAACTATGTCGATCAATGCCGAGTTTCTTTGAGCAGGTTATTAGGCATGTCACTACACACTTTTTACACGTTTTATTTCATCGATCGTCTGAGTAAAAAAAATGTCATTTAAAATTAAAAAAAAAAGAGAACATATTTTGACATTCTAAACATTTAACTATAGAGATCAATAAAATAGAGAAATAATTTTAAAAAAACAACAACAAATCATGGTTACTAAATAAACGACAGTTGCATGGGAATGATTTGACATTCTGTTTAAATAGGTGAATGCGCCAGGGTATGATGAGGACAAGTGCGTGAATGGCGGCGTTTGTTTGGATAAAAAAAATAATTGGGAGCGACTCATATACAGACAAATTCAGAGTGAATTCATGTTAGCGTGATTGTCATAATTATGACATCATATCAAAAATTTACTTGGTTAAAACACATTGACAGCCCAAGCCCAGATTCTTATCCCATAAATTATTATGCAGATCAAGCTGCAAGTAAAGGTAACACCAATCACCGAACAATTCAGAAACTTTTAGCCTGTTAAGTGCTGTGTATTTTCCTGTTTGTCCAACGCTTCCTTTTAGTGTCACTATCAAATTTATTGCTACACTGTACCTCTTATATGTACATAACATGAACTAAATTGTCTCTATAAAGCTTATTTCAGGATCGCAAAGAAAATGTCAAATCATAACTGCCCATTTCAGTAGGCACAGATCTAAAATGGGAAACATGTGGGTGGGCATTTCCTGCACTTCTTAAGGTTTCACAAAACGCTGATTTATATCAATGATAAAATAGAACCATTGCACTCTCCAAGCCAATATGGTATGCCACAGATACTCTGATTTGCTGTGATGCAGCTAGTTGTGTTATTCACTGGCACAATAGAAAATCTTATTCAATTTTATATTTTTCTTGAAAGCTGACTTCTCCAGCAGTCATTAAACTGACTCAACTTGATTTTTGCACTTTCTATTTTGATTCACGATCTCTACAAAATCAGTTCTGTTAGAGGGCACAATGAATAAAAGTTTGCATGCACTTAGTGAAAATGGTGACAAAACAAATATATATTTATGTGCATTACAATCATCTATGAGTCTATAATTGTCTAGAATTGAAGGTTAAAATTCAAGCATTATCTTCAGATTCTCATTAAAACTATTAATAAATCTGAGCTCCTCACAAGTGATAGATTACCATTGTCTCAGATACCTGTCAATAAATTAAAAATCTCATGTACAGAATCCAAGTTTATCAGACATTTATATTATTGATGCTTATTTTTGTATTTATTTGTTCATAGGCCAATTGTATGAAGGGCATTGTTCTTGCTGAGAAGACTAACATCAGTCAACAGTATTTTGCAGCATTACAAAAGTTTGTAGTGTTAGATTTAGGAATGATATTGCTGTATGTTACATCACAGATTGAGGCCAGTAGTTTATTGATGGAGATGGTAAGTTATCTGTACATTATGTATTGAGTTAAGTATATTGTGTATCTGAAGTTATTAAGAGAGTATAGCAAAGCATGCTGGGAGTGTTCATTCATTCACTCATTCATTCTGTAGAAAAATGTACATGCCTTTTCCAATCTGATTAAATTTTGAAGTAGTTTGTGGTTCCAGTCCCTGTTTACATTGGATTTGATCAACTACCTATATACAACACATGTTTAAATCAGCAGCCAATCAGAATTTGTGTTTCAGGGCTAAGTAAGGTGGGCTTTAATTGGTTGAAAGGCTACATGAACCTGATTTGGTAGGTCATTTAGGGTGTAAAGCATTGTAATTGGCGGAATTAAACCTGACAAAAAAATCTTGCTACATTGAAATTTAATCAAGATTTTAATAAATGTACCCATTAAATTATTGTTAGCAACAGCCCTTTTTGCTTGAATTTATGAAATTATGTTGATAATAGATTTTCATATTATGCATGTTATAAATATTGTTATAATTATTGTTACATTAACTCAATTAATTTTACTGTTATTTGTATTTGCTGCTTTGGCTGAAAATGACATTTTTCTGCATCATGCACAAATATTAAGAAAATGGATTTAAAATTTGTTTATTTCTTCTGTATTCTCAGGTAAATGAGGTGAACAGACTACATCCAAATCCATTTAGAAGCAGAAAACAATCTGTTCCTGTGGACCAAGCTGTGTTAACATCTGTACAGCTAATTCCTAAAGTAGGTGAAGTCAAGGCGCGAGCACTGCTTGAAAAATTTGGCAGCATAAAAGGAATTGCAACTGCCTCAACTGAGGTAGGTTTATGTGGAATAAATTTAACCAAGGCTTGCAATCTGCTTTTCAATTTTTTGGTTCTTTTAGAAATTTGGGGTCTATTAATTAGGATTTTGAATGTCTGTAATATGACTGACTAGTGGCCATTTTGATTCTCAAATTGCTAAATTATGTTAATTGATTTCTTGCACATATATGTATTTTGTTTTGTGTTGTTTTGTGATTTGATCAAATTTATTGATTTGACTCATTTTCTCAAAAATGCTAAAATCACAGTGTGTAAATATATTCGGAGATGAACATGGTGATTTCATTCAAACTTTATATCATGAGCGTGTGTATTGGCTCTAAGGTGCACATCAAATATTTTTTTAGATTTAAACAAAGCTAGCCAATTAGTAGTTTATTTTATTCATGTCCTATGCCTATTTTACACTAATATTTTGATTCAGTTGTTTGTACCTAAGTAATATGTGCACAGGTGATACCTACATATAGATTGGGTTAATTTGTTATTTTAATCAATTTGACAGCCATTTTGTCTGTAAACATAGGAGTGTTTCTCGCAGATTGTGTGATTTTAATCAAACTTTATATCATGATCATGCTTACTGGCTCACAGGGTGTACGTCATATCAGATTCCATTTTTGTTTATACAATGTAGTATCCATGCTTCTCTTTGTATGTGTGATTATAATCACTACATTTTGCCAGTGTATGTTTTCCCTGTTATTGTATTACATTAATGATTTCCACCAGGATTTTTGATTTATTTGTGTGAACTGCCATTCTAATATATTTTTGGGGGGTTTAGAATTTACCCGCTGCATAGTGTGCTTTAGATTTGGTAATGTAATTTCATGGCCAAAACAAACTTCATAAAACATACGTATAGATTGGTGAGGCATCTGCCAAAATTATTAGCAATTCTAGTATATTTCAACAAAATAGCAATAATATCGACCATACTCTATTTCGGTACATAAACAAAGCAATAAAATACAATGTTTTTACGTCAATTTATGCTGCAATGAATGTTCACGTTCCTCACAAAATGTGTATATATTAAAATTTTTGACAATAATAATTTGTATTAGTACTTACAAGTTTTCCTGTTTTGATCAGTTGATCTTAGACCTTCTATTGACAGATATAGGACTGTGCTACAGCCAGTCAGATTGCTAGATTCAGACTAACCATATTATAATGATGTGTAATTTGTAAATGTATTTACATAATTACACTTTGAAGAATATTTAATTGAGTGTTCCATTCTACAGTTAATATTGTTTTCCTTTGTTTACAGGAAATTGCAAATATAATTGGCAGAGCAAATGCTGAGCATGTCAAAATGTTTCTTGATTATAAAATTCCAAGGTAACAGAAGCAAATTGTGCATATACTGTGCATATTTGTGTGCAGTAGTGTCGAGGATTGTCGAGAGAATTTAGTATTTGTGCATAATAATATATGTACAGTATCTTGTTTTGTAACTAATAGTATAGTTTATACATATAGCAGCTGTGTTATGACAGTGTTTGGGATACTTAACACATTGAATTAGCAGCACACAAGATGTAGCTAAACTCATTGCTGAATTTTGTTCATCTTTAAATCAGCTAAATTCATTAAGTAAACTAACTTTCTAAATAAAAAATATGCAATATAAATGAACCCTTATAATTATAAATATTATCATTATTATTGATATTTTATGTTAATGTCCAAAGTGCATTATGATTTATCCTAAAATAAATATGTTGCTTTTGAAGCACATAGTATATATAGTAGCTCTTCTAGTAGGTCAATAGTCAGCTCTTTTATTATGTATTATGAAACTTACTTCCCTTCCCTTCCTTGTTCAGACATGATTGGTCCAGTCACATTCAAACAAAACACATACATGTACATCACACATCTTGGGATACATATATCAGCTCATTTGTTTCATGATTTCAGATGGTTGATTGGTGACCATTGCTAAAAATTCATCTCGGTTACATATGAATGGATTTTGTTCAAACTTGTTACAAAAATCCAGACATTTCTGGTCAGATTCAAAATGCCTGCCTTTTAACAAATTTGGTTCAGGAGCAATTTATCAAACATTCCGTGACCAAACATTTTTAAACTTTAGATATACATAGTACATCATGTTGCACATTCATTTTGTTCAAATTTTGGACAATATGGGACCCAGATGCACTTCTGTTTGTTTTTTGGAATGGTTCAAAATGGCTGACTTGTGGCCATATTTATTTAATTATTTATTAATTATCGCTTCAAGGTGGCTGAATTGAGGCTGTTTTTATGTTAACAATTCATCAAAATAAAACCAAATCAATTCTCAATCTGCATCTCGGTCATGCATAGACAAATTTTGTTCAAACTTGGTACGTACATTTAACTTTATTAGACCTTAATACATGTCACTTTGTGGCTTATGGTTGGACTCATAATCAATGAATGGCGGCCATTTTGTTTTGGAGTTTTGGAGCCATCTGACATTCTCTGACTGTTTATGTTCAAACTTTAAATATATCATACATGTATGTATCAACATACAGTAGCAAAGACTAGTAACAAAATCAAAAACTACATGTTATTATGAACAAATATTTATATAGTTCCTGTTTTCTTTGGGAAAAAATTGTATATTGTTTTAATCCTTTAAAACAAAGTCATTATCTGACATAAACTGAGCATTTAGTTATTATTGTTACTTTCTTTTTTACTCTCAAATAAAATGTTAAAACAGGTAATATTTCCATTACCCCGGTATGTGATGATGCATACGACAAAATTTATTTTCATTTTACATTATGCTGGTATCTGAAAATAGTCTTGATTTGTGGTTTTATATCTGATCCAATAACCACTGATATGAGATATATATATTGTTCACAATTGTTGGCAATTTCCTGTGATTATTTTTAGAATTATTTATTCAACCACTAAATTTTTGTGAACAAAGCAGAGTTGACTTTTGGGCGATTGTTCTATTTAAAGAAATTGTTATTGTAAACATTGCATCTTGACATGAAGCAGGTATTGTGTGGAATATAAAGGGAACCCTGGTTTCAGTTAGGTGTATTTATATATTTATATATTGATAAGTTATTCATTTCTGTATACTGAGAATTCTCACTCTCTGCCTTGGCTTGTGTCGCTAATATGCATCTGGTTTGTTGGTATGGATTCAAATGATCGTTCGTTTTGAATCGACACAAATGGGAGTACGTGCTGGTGTTATTGAAAATAATAACCATTTTAAATCTTAGTAGTTAAGTCGTATAAGTAAGCAGCATTGGTTGCGATGATACATACTGCTGCTATATTGGGAGTCGCCTGGCTGCGATGATACATAATGCTGCTAAATGGAGTCACCTGGCTGCAATGATACATACTTCTGCTATATGGGGAGTCACCTGACTGCAATGATACATACTTCTGCTATATGGGGAGTCACCTGGCTGCAATGATACATACTTCTGCTATATGGGGAGTCACCTGACTGCAATGATACATACTTCTGCTATATGGGGAGTCACCTGACTGCAATGATACATACTTCTGCTATATGGCGAGTCACCTGACTGCAATGATACATAATGCTGCTGTATTGGGAGTCACCTAGCTGTGATGATACATAATGCTGCTAAATGGAGAGTCACCTGGCTGCAATGATACATACTTATGCTATATGGGGAGTCACCTGGGTTTGATGATACTTACTGCTGCTATATTGGGAGTCACCTGGTTGCGATGAGGCACACCATAATACCCCGGTATAAGATAAGATAAACGATGTACTTTATTGTCATGTCCAGCATGAAATTCTTGTGTGCAAATTACAGTCGTAAATACAATAAATAAGTAAATAAATAAATGAATAAACAAACAATCAAATAATAGTTGAGCTCGTTCAACAATCTACTGTAATACTAGACGAATGAATTTTGTGAACGCGTTGTCCTACACTTCACTGATCTCAACCTTTTACGTGATGGTAACATACTGAAATGTCTGTGCAATGGATGGGAAGAGTCATTTTGTATACCTTTACTTTTTTGAATTGTAGCCCTCTTATATATTTCAAACAGAGTTAGTGTATTTACACCAAGTCTGCTACAATTTTGCAATCCGCTGCAATTTATCTTTTGAATTATTACTGCAGTTACCATACCAACACACTATTGAGAAAGAAATTACTGACTGAATTACAGCAGTAAAAAATGTATTTAGAACATCTTTAGAAATATCAATTTTCCCTAATTGTCTTAGAAAATACACTCTGGAATTGGCTTTTTTGAAAAGCAAATTAACATTACTGTCAAAATTAAACTTATTGTTTATAACTGTGCCCAAATATTTGTATTCCTCAACATTTTTCATTTCAATGTTATTAATAAATAAAGGCAAATGAGTGAAATCTCCTGAAATCAACCACCATTTCTTTGGTTTTCATGACATTCCATTCAAGTTTTTATTCATTCAAGTAATTGAATTCCACCAAGTAATTTTCAGTACACCAAGTAGAAAAATGTTCAACTTCTGCCCTAAAGTCATCATCTCTATTAACATACTAACTAACCAAAGCCGTATCATCTGCTTATTTAACTAGCTGTAATGCATTACTCTTGCATTGACAGTCGTATGTGTTGCAAGGTAAATAAAAATGGAGACAAAACACAACCTTGTGGTGCACCTGTATTTGTATGTACGATTATAGATTTTCTATTGTTTGTATAGTCATTAACCCACAGTATCAAGTTCTGGTTGACCTTCATGTTCAACAACTTTTGTATAAGAATACGTGGTTGTATGGTATGAAATGAAGGTGAAAAATCAATGAATAAAATCCTAACATAGTTTTTAACTGTCTGTGAGTTTAACTTCTCTACATGCTTCAATGTGTAAACTCCAGTAAACACAGTACGGCATCGTCTACACTTCTATTGGATGTGTAAGCAAATTGGTACTGGTCTACATATGGTTTAACCTGTTTTACTAGATGAATTTTCACAATTTTTTCCATACATTTCATAAGGATGGGCGTGAAAGCCACTGTTCTAAAATCATTATTAATGAGAGGTTTAGGCTTTTTGGTATAGAGATTATTTCTGATAATTTTGGTACTTTTCCACAATCTAGTGATTTCTGAAAAATTCTACATATGACGTGATGGCTCACAACATAATTTTAGCACCTTTGCCCTTAAACCATCAGGTCCTGTTGCATTCCCTATACAAATACTATTTAAAATTTTATAAACCTCATCAACTGTAATTTTAATATTATTATAACTAATGGGGAGTCACCTGGCTGCGATCATGCATATTGCTGCTATATGGAGAGTCACTTGGCTGTGATGATGCATAATGGTGCTATATGGGGAGTCACCTGTCTGCAAGGGTACATACTGCAGCTATATGGAGAGTCACCTGGTTGTGATGATACATACTGCTGCTATATGGGAAGTCACCTGGCTGCGATGATACATACTGCTGTTATATGGAGAGTCACCTGGCTGTGATGTTGCATACTGCTGCTGTATGGAGAGTCACCTGGATGTGATGATACATGTTGCTGCAATATGGAGGATTACTCGGCTGTGATGATGCATACTGCTGCTATATGGAGAGTTGTCTATCAGCAATAATACATACTGCTGCTGTATGATGAGGCATAGCATACTATCTGGGGAGTCACTTGGCAGCATTGATACATGTTGCTGCTCTGTGGTGGGTCACATGGCTGCGATGAGGCATATTATACTAAATGGGGAGTCACCTGGCTGCGATGATACATACTGCTGCTCTATGGAGAGTCGCCTGGCTGCGATGATACATACTGCTGCTATATGGGGAGTCAGTTGACTACAATGATGCATACTGCTTCTATATTGAGAGTCACCTGGCTACAATGATAACTACTGCGATATACATAATGCGATGATACATAATGCTGCTGAATGAAGGGTCGCATGGCTGCGATGGTGCACACTGCTGCTGTATTGAGAGTCACCTGGCTGCGATGATTGATACTGCTTCTATATGGTAGTCACTTGGCGGCAATGATACATACTACTGTTATATGGGGAGTCACTTAGCTGCGATGATACATAATGATGCTATATGGGGAGTCACCTGGTTGAGATGAGGGACGCCATACTATATGGGGAGTCACCTGGCTGCGATGCTACATACTGCTGCTATATGGGGGTCACTTGGCTGCGATGATGAATATTGCTGCTATATGAGAAATCACCTGTCTGTTATGATGCATACTGCTGTTATATTGGGAATCACCAGGCTGCGATGATACACACTGATGCTATATGGAGAGTCACCTGGTTGAGATGACACATACTGATGCTAT